TCACACTCTTAAGTACTTTCTCATCTCCTCGGAAAGCTGGGGTGGAACTCGAATATGTAAATAAAATGACTGATCCTGAGTGCAGATAGTAGGTAATGAAGGAGAACTAGAGGTCGTTCTCCCGCCTTTAGAAAGGGAGGAGGCCTTGGGTATACAGGGAACCCTGAAGATAACTGTATCTTGCCTTCTGTAACGAATTACCCTGTAACGCTGGTTGTTCTTGTGGAAACTCATTCGGCAAAGATCCTGACCTGGAGTTGGGACCTGCCCTTTGAAGATCAGCTGAATTTGATTAGCCAGTAGGAGACAGATGAGAAACTGCAAATATGACAATAAGGCAGACTAAATTTGAGTGAACGTTTCAGACCACAAAGACTCAAGCTGGAGTCAGAGTGATCTTTGAAAGAGGGGGGAGTGGTTGTATAGCAGGGAGCTCTGATTAATTGAGGCCTTTGAAAAGTCTGGAGCACGTTTGACTCGGTATTTTTGACAACAGAGAACAAGAAAGTTGTACGATCAAAAGAGATACTGCATTAGTCTGGGTACTTTGGAGAAACAAATCCACAGCAACTCATGTATAAGAGAGAGTTTTATGTAAAGAAAGTTTGCATCACGAAAACATCCCAATGCTGCCCAAGCCCACAAGTCCAACATTAACCCACTAACCCAACACCAGTCCACAAAGTCCTCCACCTCACAAAACAGGGGCAATGATGCCGACTGCAGGAGGAAAGCTGAGTCAATGAACGAATAAGCATCTCAGCACTAGCAGGGGTCTCCACACGGCTGCTCCAGCACCCAGGGCTGCATCGGGATAGGTCCATGTAGCTTCTCCTTGGGGATGGTTTGTATGAAGTCAATCTTGCAAGCTGAAGCAGGGAACTGCTAAGGCAGCTGCACCCTGGTGCGACCATCACAAAGCAAGAGACCTGAGAACTAGAAAGGCGAGGCTTACCACCCATTTATCCCTCCGCCTTTCAATTAGCCCCACATGTGATTATTGGCCAGTCTGGCACTATTAACTAACTCAGATACTTAATCTTTTTATCGTACAACTTTCAGAAACCGATTAACAGAAATGAGAGCAGGAGATTCGGTGGGACTTGACTTTTCTCTTTAATCGTGCTATTTTTCTATCTGGTAATGAACACAGACTCTGCTGGTGTCAGAGAGCGGGAGTGAGCTGTGTAAGAGACATTTCGGAGATGTGTACAATAGTGACCTGACTCCTGAAACTAAAAAATCAAAAGTTAAAATGTCTGTTCTCTCATGACCCGGGGATTGACCAAACAGTAGTATCACTGATGGAACTAAGGGAAATTTCCCAGAACGTTAAATCAATCATTCTGTTTTAGACATGTTTCAGAAGACAACAAAGCACCCACATCATGATGATCTCTACAAATAATAAAAGTACAGAACTAGAGTAAAAATGGAGAGTTGAGTTAGCATGCGCATGGCTTCTGTAGTCGTGTTTGGCTGCTCATGGCAAATACATCAGTTCAAAGCCACCAGTCACGCCATAGGAGAACAGTCCACCTAGGGACCCTTGTCCTGCACAGTCCCATGCATCAAAATCAATTCAAGGGCACCCACCAACAAAGCTTCCCCCAAACCCATTGCTGTTCAGCCAGCTCTGACCCATAGCAACAGCCCCTCCCGGACAGAGTCAGACAGCCCCATAAGGTTTCCTGGGCTGTCCTTCTTTACCAAAACAGACAGTGCAGCTCTTTCTTGTTGAGCAGCTGGTGGGTTGGAACAGCACCTGAGCACGTACCCATGGTGCCACCAGGGCTCCTACAGAATCGATAGATATGCTAATTTAATTTTCCATCTGCCTCTAAGGATAAATGCTCGTGTGTGTGTGTGTGTGTGTGTGTGTGTGTGTGTGTGTATGTGCGCACGCGTATGAAGGCAGCCTTAGTGGTAGAAACAGTAAAGTACTATTAGCCAAAGGTTAGTGGTTCAGACTTGGCAGTTTGTTTCTGTAAAGCCACAATATTGATAACCCTTTGGGGCTGTTCTCCAGACCTGGGGTTGCCATGAGTCAGAATTGACAGCAGCCGCTGTGTGTGTGTGTGTGTGTGTGTGTGTGTGTGTGTGTGTGTGTTCAATTGAGGCAATGAGAATAAAAACAAAACAACAAATCTCATAGATGGCACTGAAACAGTAGTTGGATAAAACCCAAGACAAGAAAGACTCCGGCAGTAGATAAGGAAAGTCCTTTGGAAAATGAAAGCCCTCATTGTCAGCATAAACACAATAGCTAACCTTTTTGGAAAGATGACGGTGTGTCCTAAACTCCTTAATATAGTCAACTTTTTAAGCTCCTAACTCCTTTTCAAGAAATAACACAGAAGACACGCTGCATTATTAATACCATCTTGGATGCTATAAGCATATGACATAGGCGATAAGGGTTCTGGCCAGGAAGTTATAACACATGTTTTTGAATCCAGCTACATTTCTTCAAGTTGGGTAATCGTAAGCAAGTTGCTTAACATCTCTGTGTGTAAGTTTCCCCATCTATAAAGTGGGGATAAGAATGTAATTTTTAAAGGACTTAGAGAGAAATAAATGGGCTCCTCTATATTAACGAGTTTAGGACACACCATCATCTTTCAAAAAAGGTTAGCTGTCCAGGAGGGGCTGTTGCTATGGCTCAGAGCCGCCTTAACAGCAATGAGTTTGCAGGAAGCTTTGTTGTTGGATGCCATTGAATTGATTGTGATGCATGTGACCGTACAGGTGGACAGGGTGGCATTGCTTCACAGGGGTCCCTAGATGGCCTGGCAACGACTAGATAAACCCTTATGGTGGAAGGTAACCTGGAATTCTGTAAAGTAAGGAAGAAACATGAAACTTTGATATTTTCTTTCTCCTCTCCATCCATATACCAGTTGTTGAAACAACACATTGTCTCCATTGAAGGGAGTTATTTTGCAACTTAGGAAGAAACTAACAAAAGTTATCTCTGTTTTTACTGCTTTCTCTACTACAAATGTGTACCTATTATCCTTTGTGTACTGGAAAAGTCTGATTAATTAAATTGACTTTCAACCAAGGTTTTGTATTAGAACTCTTTTTGTTGTTGTTGTTGTTGTTGTTGTTGTGCCTCTGAGCATGTAGACAGCACAGGGTACACCAGCGCACACTTTCTACGCTCGCCATTCATCAACATGCAGTACATTCTTCCTGGTGCGCAGCCATTCTCACTGTCCTTCCTGAGTTGTTAAAACCCACTTTACCTTGCGTTTCAGTACAAAATGAGGATTTGATTGGTTTCGAAAGAGAAGGGCTTGGGAAGCAGCCCAACACTGGCATGACTTGATCAGCTTCAGCCTGGGAGGGAGCCTCTGGGCCTGGACTTCTTTGCAAACAAGGTCAGGCCTTGAAGCAGGAATTAGACGGAAACCCTTTGCTCTGGAGGAAAGCCACTTGTGACTTCTTGGAGGGAGCGTGAGCAGGTGTCTCCCACAGACAGGGAGAGCTGGCTGCCATCCCCTGCTGGGCTGTGCTCCCCCAGCCGCGCTCGGGCCTCCCTCCTTTGAGAAGCAAGCAAAGGGAATGGTAAACTTTCACCCGCCCTCCTCAATTGTCCTGTAGGCACGGAAAAGAGACAGAGCACCAGTTCTTCCTTCAAGACTTAAACTGTGAAAGGATATCCTCTAATACATGTTGCGGAAGCAAAGTTTTGTTCAAATGAGTTGTCTCCTCAAAACCCCTCTTAATGGAGAAAGATCTTATCCTTTTATGCTCCTGGTAGGCACATGCTGTGGAAATCCAACTTTCTTTACCAATAGTCCTCTTGTGAGACAAAAAGACCCACGTCCTGTTCTTTGCTGGTCCCACTCCTCTGATCTATGCTGTTACTGATCCCTTCAGGAATGTCCTCTCCACTCTCTACTTGTTGCCATTGAGTTGATGCTGATTCAGCCACCCTATAGCACAGGGTAGAATTGCCCCCTGTGAGTTTCTAGGCTGTCACTCTTTACGGGAGTAGAAAGCACTGTCCCTCTTCCAAGGAACAGCTGGTGCTTTTGGACTACTGACCTGGCGGTTAGCAGCCCAATGTATAACCACTACACCACTAGGACTCCTCTACTATTATCTCCAAATAAATGCTGCTTACATTCCCCATCTCAATGCTACTCTACCATAATGCCTTACTGAACTCATTGGATTGTGTATTCAGCTCTCCTTTCATATCTCCACCTGATTTGCATTTTAAGTATTTATGTCCCTGTATGATCTTGCCTAAAGAGACCTGGTGGCATAGTGGGTTACTCGTTGGGCTGCACACTACAAGCTCAGCAGTTCAAAACCAGCAGCTGCTCCAGGAGAGAAGGATGAGATTTTCCATTCTCATATAGGTTGGCAGTCTTGGAAACTCAGGACAGTTCCACACTGTCCTATAGGACTTGATGGCAGTGAGTCTGGTTTGATATTTCTTGTCTACTACAATCTGAACTCCATATGGACAGAATCTATCATTTAACTCTGTCTCTTTCTTGTCACCTACCCTTAAAATAAGACCTATCAACTACTCATAACATGTTAAGTCTTTTTAAGGTTTCTCCGTTCCTCTTGCCTCAGGAAGCAAATGTGCTGAAGCTGGCTAACCTCCTGATTCTCAGCCCAGGACTGACCTCCATCTCAGGGCTTCTCAAGGAGGCTTGCATTTTTGAATTGTGTGGCATCCCTGGAGGGTCCCAGATCACAGAAATCTCAGACATTGATATCATTAAAATCACCCCCCGCTCCCGCTAGTGCACAACCAAGATGCCGACAGCCACCCTACAGCATGCTGGCCTTCTTGACCATCCTTGCTTTACTTAGTAAATACTTTACCAAAAAAGGGAAGCAATTCATTCAATTGAGAAACATTTCCTTTTCCCCACAGAGAATTTTAAAGTAAAATGTACTATTCCACCACTGGTGCTATAAGTATGTTTCATTTTGCTTGCTACAGTAGCTTATTTAACTGTTTAACTTTGCAGATATTTCGAAAGAAAGCAGTGGAACTTGGGGTAAAATTGCTACCTGCATTTCATACTCCTTCTGGAATACCTTGGGCATTGCTGAATATAAAAAGGTAAAACTCTTCATTTTTGACAACGTATTTAAGTTGAAATATTTCAGATTATGATCTGACAAGTAGATGGGTAACTATCTGAATGACATCAGTAACCAGTTGACTCCAGTGGGAATCTTAGGGCTTGCCTTTGTGGGGGAAGCTCTGCACTTCTCTTTGTTTCTTTGCCTCAGAGGGGTCCCTGCCGTGGGATGGCACAACCCCAATGGAGTTCTCAAGCCAGACATTGTCTTTGACACTGTAATCAAACTTTTCACATCTCAGGAAATAGAACTTCCTAAAGGCGCTTACTTCACTTAAGCTGCCAGAGTTATTGACACCCTAGTGATGCTGTTGATAAACATTGGATTGTTAATCATCAGGTCTGTGGTTCAAGCCCACCAGCAGCTCCAAGAGAGAAAGTTGAAGCTGTCTGGTCCCACAAAGATTTACAAAGCCACGGAAACCCTAAATAAAGCCACTATGACTTGGAATACAATCAGTGGCAGTGGGTTTTGTGGTTGGTCAGAGATCAGATCCCCCATTCAAGAAAGTTGGTTCAACTGAGACAGGAAGGATTTGAGACTGCTCAGCCCACCGTTGTAAGAAGGAGCTGCTCTAATCCAAACTGCTTATCCCATTTGGGAAAGAACCCAGGAATGCCAAGTCCATGGAAATGTGTCCCCAAGAAAATCCCAAGCTGAATAGACTTCTTAATGTTCTTTGAGGGTGTGGCTTGAGTTTTTATGAAAGCATGATCATTTGTTAATGAAAAATTTTCTTCTTAGACTTCTTTTTTTAACGCCTTTCAACCCATATACAACCAGTCGCATATGTGTCTCTTTGTGATGGTGGGGATAGGTGATATTATCAAAATAAAACGTGAGGCACTGCTGTAGACTCTTTATAAGCATGACCACATTTAACCCTCATGGCAACTGATAGGATAGATATTATTGTTATTTCCATTTCACTAATAAGAAACTTGGGTTACAAAGGAGAAAAGTATCTTGCCTAACATCAAACCGTAAGTAAATGATATATTTAGAATTTGTCCCTTGGTGTTTATACATATTCATGCATAGGAACAAATTAAACCATTTTCTCTTTAAAAGCACCCAGAGGTTGCAATGGGTGGTTTGCACATTTATTTCTTAATTACTTCAGGTATATTCTTTCATTAACACCACTTAGGAGATTAATCATTGTTAGTAGTCTTTGTTTTCTTTAGCTAAGAACCAGTTAAATCATATGTAGACCATGAGATGTCATTTTTTACCTACCTGTAGTATGTGTGTGTGTGTGTGTGTGTGTGTGTGTGTGTGTGTCAGTCATGTGGTTAGAGTGGGGTGCAGGCATGGAGACAGTGAGATAGAGAGAGGATCCACAACTCTGAAAGAACAAAACACAAACTCACTGTCCTCGAGACCTTCCTATACACACAGGCCAGAACTGCCTCTGTGGGTTTTCGAGGTAAAAATCTTTACAGGAGTAGCTAACGTCATCTTTCTCCCTATTTCTCCCTAGAAGCAGCTGGTGGTCTCAAACTGTTAACCTTGCAATTAGCAGCCCAAACTCTGACCCACTACTCCACTTCTCTTGCCACAATTCTACCTCAATTCACTGCCACTGAGTCCATTTCAACTCAGCGACCCTGGAAGACGGAGTAGAACTGCCCCCTGTGGGTTTCCAAGACTAACCCTTTATGGATGTAGACAGGCTCATCTTTCTCTGTAGGAGCAGCTGGTGGGTTTGGACTGGTGGGTTTGACCTTGCTATTCACAGCCCAATACATAGGTGTGCTACTGTGTGTTATGTGGCGTCTCAGGATCAGATTTTCCCTTAGAGGTCCTCAGGCTTTCTCTGCTAGCTTGAAGATCACAGTATATGCTGCAGGGTCTTAACACAGGACTGGGTATGAGATTAGCCTGGTGTTGGTATGAAGTCCCATAATTCCTTATTTATTTTTTTTATTAGAACTTCTATATCAATTTCCAAGACTTTGTATCTGTTGGTAGTATTTTGGTCAAGGTACTAGTCTCTTAACTGTAATGAAATCTGTTCACAAATATACTAGGCAAAATGATCACGTTTTTCATTACCTATATTCTGAGAAAAGTGCATAAGCAGAAGAGTGCACTGAGCTTTTTAGTTCTCTAAAGCGCTGGTTCCAGGCCTTCATGGCCACTCTAGATCTGCCTGAATCAGGTCCGTGGTTGAACACAACAAGCTTATTTTTAATCTGGAATGTGGGCTGACTCCGTGATTCGGGGGTTCACAGACCACTTTGACATTATGATAAAACATGACCTTAGCAAAAACTGCACGTTTCTGAGTACACAGAGTTTTGCATAATTACATAAAGTTAAGAGTACTACAAGAGATCATCTGTATTTTTAAAATCCTGGAGTAAGTGACTGCTCAAACCTTCTACTGTAAGGTTTTATGGAATTAGTTCTTAGTGCTTTTCAAAGGCAATAAAGTTGGCTAATGGCCTTATTCAACTTTCTAGAAAGGGCCATAGGCTGATATTTTTGCAAAAATTCAGTGAATTATGATAAGGCACTGTTAACTTCTAATTATTCTCTGAATATGATAAATTGGATTTTTGAAAGACATATTTAACTTGGTGTTTATTTACAACAACCAAGTAAATTGTTCCTTGATTTAATATCTTTAGTAAATAGTACAGATGTGTTTCAGTACACAGAGGAATATTTATAAAGATATTAATCCTTTTGTCTCTTTCATATCTATGGTTCCTGAAAACTCACTAGCATGATGTTCAAAAAGCTTTATAAGATCTTATATTGTATTTATGTTATTTTATATTAGAATTTTTGTTTTTCATTCCAAAGATAGGAAAATTGATTATGTGAAAGAAAACAGTGATTGTGAAAAAATAGTACGCCATTATTTGTGTTTTCTCTGCTATTTTCAAATTAAGCTAGAGGAAATTAGGTGACCATTTGGCAGCTGATAAGAATATTTTTAATTTGTTCCTGGCAACTTGCATGAATTTTTTATTGTATATTTCATCCACTCTCATTCCCGTTTGCTAAATAGCAGTTATTTGCCCAAATTCACACAATAAACATTGGCCAAGTTGGTTGTAATATCAATCCCCTAGCATTCCTCCCGTCCCCTTGCCCGATCATGGGCACTCCTCTAACCCGCGCTCCTTCCCGCTGTAAAGCTGATTTTCATCTGAAGAAATTCCCTGTAGGGGAAGAAAACAAGACTTCATATTTACCGACAAGAATTACATTTCAGGATGCGCTGTTCACGTCGACAGTACACATGTGTGCTTGCTTCTGAATCCATTTTCACAGTATGGGCCAGGGGACAAGGGACACCTGGTTTGGAGACTCTTGTAGTTTTGAAGGCTGTTGCAAGCTGACGCCTCAAACGAGAGGGGGAAGTGTATGCCTAACAAAACCATATTTTCTTAATTACCTTCTCCGACCAAGGGAGTGTTTGTAGAAGAATGCCAAGAGGAAAAGACTACTTGAGGATATGTTTCAGAGTGTCACATGGTCTCTGCTGCCCGGCTCTAAAGTTCTTGGCAAGCATTTTGACGGGAGAGGCACAGGCTGTGCTAGTTGCAATATCCCAGTTCTGCTTTCTGCTCTCAGTGTTGACAGCGGTGATGGGTGTCTCTCTTTGCGACGCCTGGATGTCAATAAAAATGTGACTTTGTTGGTATTGTTTGTTCAGTTTTCTTTAGTCTATAGGTTATTACTGCCTAAAGAAATAAGTTTCTCAGCCTTTACTTTCTGGGGGGGGGGGGGAAGTATTGGAGTCTCTACTCTGATGAAGATTCCAGGCAGGTTTTGAGCATATTGAAATTTTTGTTTGTTTGTTTTTCTTCACTTTATTCAAAAAGATAACAAACATGGTATTTGCTCTCAAGGGGTCCACAGCCTGGTTGGCAAAGCAGAATGTCTAATTTATGTTGTAGTGTACACTAGTATACTTTAGCTGGTAAATGTTCATCTGCATCCAAGAGAGAGCGAGCAAGTTCTTACCGGGTTGGATCTAAAGCAAGCAGTATTTTCAACTGGTTAGATCTATGTCTTTGAAGCCAAAACACTAAGAAGGCAAGTTGGATTTTCAGCATTTGTTCAAATTGAGAATATGCAGGGTACTAAATAATTTACTCGTGTGCTGCAGTAGGAACTGTGTCCCAAATCTGGATTAGGCGGGGTGGGGGGGTTTGGTTTGTTTGTCTTTAATCTCTTTTGGCTACATTTACGATAAATTATTTGTTGAAGAACTGCCATATCCACTTTTCAGGTAATAGGAATTGTGATTTAATAACAATAAATAATTTGATTGAAAAACAACTTAGGTGTTGTATGCAGGACCTGACAAGACTAATATGCGCTTGTCGCCAATACAGTGGTAGAGGGAAGATGCGTATGTGTCATAACTTCGCTGCTAAAAGAAAATCATTGCCTTTTTAGCAGATTAGATTTTGGTAGAACTCAATTTCTCTAATGTGCATATGTCAGAGTTTGATGTCTGATCTTGTTATTACTATCAGCAATACACTTTTTTCCCCTCAAATCTGAGTAAGAAAAATCACCTCTGCGGCTTGTAAAATTAAGTATATCACCATTTCCATTTGCTAGGTACAATTCAGCCTAGGTAGAGTAAAATTATTAGATTTTTAGGTTTCCTAAAGTGTATCCTTAATTTAAAATAATGCAGCTAATGTTCCCGTTATTCATTTCTATAATAGAGCACACAGGCTAAGCTTTCCTAATAATCATTCTATCCTTCTTGATAAATGAGTTAGTTTTAGCTTTACAGGTATGCACCGCATAACGTTTGTTCAGGCAACATCGGACCTGATATACTTCCATGAGGTGGGGATGAGGAGCTTGCTTATAAGGGTACCAGAAGGCCAGGTTGGCATGGCCACAGCAGCCACAGCTGGGCTGCAGCTGCAACTCCTCCAGCTGTGAGCTGTGATAGGACCTACCGCCCCTGTGGCGGCAGCCTGGCTGCAGTTGTCC